GCATGAGGACGAGGTAGGTGTCGTTGTGGGACGTGCGCAAGTACTGCACGATGTTGGGGTGGCGGAGCGACGCGCAGATCGCAACCTCGTTCTCCAGCTTCCGGAAGTCGGTGGTGCCGGCGATGAGAAGCTTCTTCGCCACGACGAGCAGCCCGTTGCGGCGCGACTCCCACAGCACCGCGTGCCCAAAGGCGCCCTGCCCGAGCACGCGCCGCTCGACGAAATCGCTCGCCTCGTGGTCGTCCACCTGTTCACAGCGCGAGCCGCGTGAAGGGCGGTGGCGGCCTCTCTCGCCAGCAGCGAGGGGAGCGGCGCTGCCGTCGCAAACAGGTTGTCTGTGGTGCGAAACGTCATCGGCGGCTCGGCGGCGCCGCCGCTCTTCGCCGAGTCCGGCGAGGCGGGCGAGAGGGGCGCGGCGGCGGGCGACGTGGCGGCGGAGGGAGGCGAGATGTCGCGATGGCGCGCCCCCGCCGCTACGGGCGGCTCGGCGGCGGCGCTCGCGGCGGCGGGTGACGGGGCTGCGCCCGACTCGGGGAGGCGCCTCCACGCCACCGGGTTGAAGTCTGGACCAGGGCTGGAGCTGTCCGGCGTGCGCGAGGGCGGCTGCGTCGAGGGCGGCTTCGGGCCGAGCGCGTGCAGCAGGCTGCCTCCCTCCACAAACTCCTGCACCTGGCCGAGGCCGGACATGCGGAAGAGCAGGTCCGCCTGCGATTGCGACGAGGCGGCCGGCCACGCGACGCCGAGCGAGTCGACTCGCTGACCCTCGCGGGAAAGCGGCCTCGCGGGGGAGAGCGAGCCGTCCCCTCCCGCCCCCTCCCTGCTCGGCGGCCGCCGCACCACGGCGGCGGCGGCGCGCAGCTCTCCGATCGTCGAGAAGGAGGCGGGCCTCAGCGGAGCGGCGGCCGGCGGGGACGCGACCGGGCGGTGCCGTGCGGGCAGCGCCTCCATCGAGAAGGACTTTCGCGAGTTGCTGGCCGAGCCGACCGCCGACGAGGAGGAAGAGAGGCAGATCGAGGCCGGAAGCGCGGCGCACATCCCCTTCTCCGAGCTCGCGGGAGATGACGGGCCCGCTGGCGCCGTCTTGGCGTCGCCCGTCCGCTGCTCCGGCGGCGCGCTCGCGCGCCGCCGCCTGCCCCGCAGCACGCCCGTCGCCGAGGCGAGCGCGGCGAGCGAGAGGAGCGTGCACAGCAGCGCGCACGCCTGCAGGATGGAGACGCGAAACGGAAGCAGCCGCGCGCCCGCCAGCGAGAGGAGCGAGACGAGTCTGCCCTCGCCGCCCTCCCGCCCTCGCC